AAGAAGTAAAGCAAACAATTATCTCTTCTAGTTACGACCTTTGTACTCGGTTGCTGCTTTACGTAGGCTGCTAAGCCTTTAAAATTTCTTTGTTAGGTTTTATATATACACATATTTGAATAACTAAAAAATCAAATTACTACAAAAATACCATAGAATTCCACTATAATTTATAAAGCTTAGTAACTAAGATGTGTTTTAGTCTAAAAAATATGAAATTTTGAGCAGACTAAATACACACCCTACCTTGTTGAAATATTGGTTCAAAAGACAAAAAATGGTACCAAGTCTGTTAAAATGACTGAGAAATCCACTAGAGGGACATTCTGAGATTCCAATTGGTTATTCATGTCATATATAGAAGTAAGTGTATATAAGGGAGTGTTTCTAAAAATGGAAATAGGTGGGCAGGGTGCCACTGTGTTTTATTTATTTCATGCGCAATATCATAGCAAATTGAAAAGATAAGAGGCTCTTATTTTATATTTTAGCATGTCAATATCGGTAATTTGAGTTTCTAATTCATTTGAAACTATAGACTTAGTATTTTGACTTCACAAACATCTAATTTGAACCAGTGCTGCATTCAACATACCATGTGACATACAAAAATTTATGTTTATCTGTGTTTCTTTAATATTTGCTTTAAGATTAAAAAACCAGATAATATATATAGTACTAAAATTTGAATTATAATCTACAGTTTGATACCAGTTCTGTGGTACGTAAAAACCATTGGGAAATTGGCATATTATATAATAGGGGATGACCTACACTATACTGACAGGGAAACTTCTGCCCTACTTCCCATCTCATTGTGCTGCCTCCTCAGACTCTCATCTGGGAGATCTCACAACAAGCAAAGAACTCTCCAAGTCAACTACCCCAGTGGCTAGGAACAAGATGTGGCAAGGGTCTCCCATGCTCCTCTTGATGACCAGAGAATTTGCATTGTGAGACATCAGAGAGGTGCCCAGACCTGATCAGGCCCAACCACAGCAAATGTAACCAACTGAATAAAGTGCAATGGGTTACTCCAGAACTTAACATGAAAAGCTAGGATGTGTGAGCCAGGGAAGTTGTTTGCACTCCTCTGGTGCTGGTTTTCTTTCATGATAGCCCATGAAAGGTATGGGCTGGAAAGAACAATGAAATATATAACACCACAGTGATCTTGTGGAAAACTCCATCTCAACAGTGGACACTTTAGGAGACAGGGTGCAAGGGTTTAACACACCTTCCATTACCCCAGATACAGGTGAGTTCCAAGAAGTGAATAGGAGTACTTTATAAAGAGGTAAGGAAATAAAAGTAGTACTTACCCATTAAGGACAATGAGTACACTAGAGAATGGTGACTAGGAGGAGGAAAACCATCAGACTGTAGAAATAATGGGAAACAAATGTATTGGGCATAGTCTACATTCCAGTCTGGAGGATCTTGTCATCAAAAGTACAAGTCCAGAGAGTGATTCAAGTGATAGAGCCTGTGAATATCTCCATCCATGTTGGAAAGTTTGTTTGCTTGTTTTTGAATTTCACGAAAAGTTACATGAGGGCTATCTATGCTAGCCGTCTCTAATTTAGCAGTGTAAGACTACAGGGAAGGCAGCTAGTCATCACTACCCACCGCGATCTCTTGGGCTACTCTTTTTACCAACAAATAGTGGGATTGACCATCATATTATAACACCCCCATGGCTGAAAGGAGAAAGAAATCCCTAAAAGAAGAGGGGGCCCCACAACAAGAATAAATTATTGTAGGAACCCCAAAATGGAGTTGTGTGTGCCAAGTAACATTTGACCACCTGAGCTGGACACAAACAGCAATAGGGATCATATAATCATAGAGAGCCAATATCAATGGAAGAAAAAGTATGATCACTCTCCTGAGCCATCCAAATTTTAGGAAAAAACATGTAGTTCAGGAGTAAAATCAAGGAAGATCTGTGAAACAAAGTAAGGGAAGCATCCATTGCATAAAGATTAGATCTGTGATGACCACTAGCAAGAAGAAAGAAAGAGGTTTTAAGAGAAAGATGATATATAGAGTAAGTGGCTAAGTGGTTAAACAAAGCCTGGGTAAGAGCATAATGAACCATATCAAGGTTTCAGTCAGGCAAAGGAATCAGATTAGGGGGAAATTGAGGAATTAGAAGAGACTAGAACAAAGTGAAGGAAAATAGAAAACTACAGCAAAAAGGTAGTTTTCAAGGCCTCCCAACAGCATGTGATGGTAGAAATGACAATCCTTGGTCAAACAAACAGGTAAAGAAAACCAAATAATGGGCAACTGTGGAACATTTTTGTTGAAAGAGAGAGTAGAAGGACAACATGAATGGGATAAAAGAAGAGCTATATGATCAGAAAAACCTGACCATTAAATAAGGGACCAGACAAATCCCACATGTGAAAATGAAGGGATAGCACTCCCAAGTAAAAGATATAAGAGACAGAGAGGGGGTATACATACAGAAAGAGATGAGATCAGTACATCTAAAGCCAGAGATACTGAGTGAGGTACCTGGGACCAGAAGAGGGGGAGTTTGGGTATGAGAGGAGAGGCAAAGGCATTGATCATTGGTGTGCCCAATTGGGAACAAATTGAACAAAATGCCTGAAAATGGAGTGAATAGAATGAATCCTGTCCAGTTGAGTCAATCCACCAGGTTCAAACATCCCCGGATATAAAAGGCTGTCAAACAAATTCTATATAAGTGGGTTAAAAACAGAAAGTCAAACATGTGAAATCTAGGGTCCCTGGAGCAAATGATATGGAAAATGGCTTTGAATTGTTGGAGCAGATCATAATCAAGTGATCCACAAGACAAGGTAGGAAATAGGAATACTTGATAGATGGCTGAGATTTCAAGAGCTTTAATGTGGAAGGTATACTCCGCAGGACACCAAACCCTGAGGCCACAGAAGAGACATGCCCCAACCAGTAAGAGATGTGTTCAAGAAGAAATGGAAATCCAAATGGATGCAGCAGTGGGATGCTGACCTTTGGATTGGCACAATCTAGCCATGAAGACGGCTTCTGATTGAGTCAAGAATGTAAAAAGTTTTCAAGGTAGATCAAGTACCGAGTTGAAGTCGGGAAAAAACTTGAAATACTTGACCAACCAACCTAGACAAGCCACCTCTTTGAGGAGAAGTGATGTGGCTGAGATGAAGGCCTCACCAAAAGAAACAAGGAGAAACCAATCATCCATTTAATATTGGAAACAACATCCAAGACTGTGGGCATGGCGAGCAAATACTCCCATGACTCTGTTGAAGACATAAGGAGCCAAAACAAAATGTTAGTTTTAACTAAGTTTCAACAACTATAATTCAAAAATACTTTACAATTTAGAATTTTTCTGCTCATCGAAAAAAATTTATTTTTCTAAGAACCTATCACACCTTGAGCGTATATCATCCCCTTCTTGATTTTCAAGCATTTCCCTTACTTTCTGTATATGCCTTGGTTGAAACTTATTATGGTGTCACACCAAATGGACTGATCATTCACCAATGAAACACAGCTTTGTAAACAGCTGTAAAGAAAGTTTAAATACAATTGGATATAGCAAAAATTAGACTATTATACAATAGTAAATTGTTTCAAGATTTTTTTACAGCTTCTGTAAATATTCTTTTCAATTCCTTTTTTTTATGAATTGCAGAAGTATTTGTGTTAAATTATATCTGCTTGAAAGATACAGAAAATATCATCAATGAGAAGACAACTTGAAATAAGGTAAGCTTATACAGTTTAGAGAAAGATTGAATGGGTAAGAAACAGAACTTTATCACAAGTTTAACAAATAAAATATTTGAAAAACTTGCCAACATCATGAATAAATAGCTTATCTAGACAGGAATACAGTATGACACAAATGTCACATGACTTGAGATTAACTAAGGCTTAATAAAGTGATTTTGTTGATGTTTAACTTTTTGCTTCAAATTGATGTTTTTACTTTTAATAGACATGTTATGGTTTTATATGAGAGTAATGTTTTTTGTTTTTTTTATTTTATTCACCAAATAAAATTATTATCAAATTAAGTTAGTTTAGCTATGTTTACTATTTTTTGAGTATGGTAGGTGACTGAAAATTATTCTGGTAACTCAGCTCTTTATTTAGTAATATTTTTGTTTATCTTATTCAAACAATTACAAAAAATATATTTGCTAATTGGCTACTTAATTATCTCTAATTGCATCTGTGATACATTTTAAATGAGAACATTGTTACTCTCATCAGTGAAAGTAAAATGTGTTTTCATTATTTATCAGAATATCACTATGGAATTACTGCATATTTAAAAGAAACAAGCATAATGGTGATCACATAGTGGTATTGAGTCAACATAACCGATTCATTTACCAAGTACAAAATGTCCAGATCATTTTGAAAAAAATTGTGATAAAATTTTTAAAAAGCAATATATATTTTTTTTTGCAAAATGTGCATATGGTGACCTTCAGAAAAGGTTTATCCTAGGAAAACAAAAATACAGTGTAGCCCCATTATAACACGATCGTTAAAGTCCATAAAATGTTATCGTGAAACAAGCGGGGTCATGCTAAATCGGGGTTCAAGAAAGCCAGGAGAATTTTGAGACCTAAGTGAATTTGTCAACTTTTTGCATGTTATTAGTCTATATTCTTTGGTGTATTATTTAATTAAATAAAAATTGTTTACTGCTTTACTATAATCATTAAAAAAATCAGGCAAGAAAAAAGAAGATTGTGTAATTACTTTATTTCTTCTTTATTTATTATTATAAAAGTAATTAAAATTTCAATTTTGTTTTTGGGTGGTTACGAGGTTGGTCAAATTGACCGATACCATTTTGAGCTAAGGTATAGAAAATAACAAAAACTATAAGGATTTAGTGAAAGAAAAACGTTTGAAATGCATTTAGGAGGTTTTAGGGATTACACAAAGGACATTTGAGGTTTTTAGATGATTAAAAGTATTTTTTATTTTCATAAGAAAATCACTTTGCACTCAGACTAGTTAAAAAAAAAAATTGATATTTTCACAGACAAATTTAAGCAAAAATACTACATTAAAAATCTGATGTTTTGTGTGCAAAAGGCTTCTATAAGTCTAAAAAATTTTGTAAAGATACACTTAAAATATTAAAAGTTATTAGTATGTAAACTATAACAAGGTTATGGTTACGAGGTCGGTCCCAGGGACCAAGCCCGTGTCAAAAGAGTTAATGACCTATCGCGTTATATCCGAATTTGCATTAAATCGGAGTTTCACTGTAATTTAAAAATTACTTCAAAAAATAACCTAAAACAATGTCAATTCTGTGGCAGAATAAAGCAATGGTTGAAAAAGTTACTATGATACCATGAGTTTTTGTGCTTTTATGAGGAGTGGGGGGCAGAGCACGTATGATGTAGTAATGAATTAGTCAGATATAATCGAATAATGAGCCCATTGATTAATGTATTAGTAAATGCCATCAGTTACCAAGCTCTATTCATATTACCACAGGCTGCTCATGTAGCTTATAACAAACTACACAATGTACCACCACTTCATGAGAGATATTTGGGTTATTTTACGTATATGATGCTCCATGTACAAAATGCATGTTGAGCTTTAACAATCGATTAGAAGTACCCACATGGTAATGGCTGGTGTTACACTTAGGTTGTCTCAGTCTCATTTCGAAAGAAAGATACCGTTAAACATTTTTACTTGTAAATCAATTGCATTGAATCATCCCCAAATTAAAGTGATTTAGTAATAATATATTTTGGTGTAATACTTAAATATGATAAAGATCACTGTCACATTCATTCATGGCAAAAGTCAAGTGGTTCAGCATAGAGCACCAGAGAAGTTTTTCAAATCTCCACTACATGGGTAAATTTATAGCTTGAAGAACTTCAGGCATTCTAAATTAATCCCATAATGTATCTATTTCCGAAATATTCTACAAGTAAAAGCCATTTCCGTATTCATGGCGTGTTAGATCCCACTTTTGTCCCAATTTTCTTGTAATAATAATTCATGATTGTGTGGCAGCTAAGCATCGGTAGAATTATTGATGTACTGCTGTCTATGATGATGATGATGATAAGTAAAAGCACTAATATTTGAAATGAGGTATTTTAATTTTAGTACGCAAATAAAAAATTAAAAGTTTGGATGGAGCTTCCATGCCAGTTCAAACTCAAAGTGGACTGTAACACAATCAGCACTTCCAAAATTTTCTGTATATTTAAAAAACAAAAGACTAACACAGTACACACAATCCTTGTCATAAAATTAAAAAACATTCACTTTTTAAGTTTCAAAATTGACACTTTAGTTTGCTTCATTCTCAATTGTTTTCTGCGTATTGTTATTACTAGTAGTAACACTTCGTTTTCTAAATTTTGATACAAGAATGTGTAATTTGTAAAATCAATTTTCGAATGTCCTTCTTTAGTTTTTAAAATTAACAGTGGAAGATGTTGTGCGAATAGAGTTAGGCCTAACGTTAATTGCGCATCACATCAGAGTACACGTAGTGTGAAGTAAGCACTAAAGTAGGCTTAGGTTACATCACTGAACACTCGTCCTTGTTTTTAATTAATTTAATATAAGACTTTCGTTAAAACAAGTAAAAACAAAACCTTACCTTTTTAATTTCAGAGTCTGAAGCATTTGGTGAAACACCCAACAGATCATATAATTTTGTATCTCCCATTTTATGTTTTATAAATCTATAACTAAAGGTCAAATCACAACAGCAAGCGAGCCCCAAACCAGTCTAAATGAAAAGGAGTATTTGCGCACTCTGTGAAATTTATACAATTAATGAACAATTTATACAAATTGTGAAACACTCGAATCACAACAAACGAGAATAACTCGAACCAATTATTTCAGTGCAACAATTTTTCCTAAGTAAAATTTAATTTAAAAAGAAATGATGAACAGTTAAAACAAATTTGTGAAACATTCGAATCACAACAAACGAGAGTATTATAAAAAAAGATATTTCTTCGGCATTTCCTGCTTAGCTGCTTTCTTTTCGAACATATCTCAAATCTGACATTACCTCTATATCAACGGTTTACCCATAAGCAAGATTATTAATAAATGAAAATAATACTTTAAGTTCAAGTTTTTCGTAAGTATTTACCGTGATTACATTGTTTCTAACAATACCTGTAATCATAGTCAGTGATTTCTTGACAAATCAATGATAATAAAGGGCATTTCTGTGGGTCTGTGTGTGTGTGTGTGACTGTCATAACTCCAAGAGAAAAGAATCTGAGAACCTGACTTTTTGCACACATACGAAGTAAACGTATCTTTCTGTGAGGCAAGCTAGCGACAAACCACATTAGAAAGAATATGTGATCGCTATAGCACCAAAAGCATAGAACCTAGAAACCTGAAATTTTGCACCCACACTAAGGATGTGCACCTGAGTATTATTACTTATATACGTGCGTGCGCACATGTGCATCTTTTTATGCGAAAAACTACATAGAAAATAAATGTGACTGCCATAGCTTCAAGATGAAAGAACCTAGAAACTTGAAACTTAGAAATAGAAATCACAGTTGTGAGCATGCGCTTACGCTCGTCCGTGGTTGTGTATGTGTGTGACCGCCATAGCTCCAAGAGGAAAGAACCTAGAAATCTGAAATTTTGTACCCGTCCTAAGTGGACCCTGAGGGTGTGCTCCTGAGTATATTACTTATCTTATCCACGTGCACGCGCGCATGCGCATCTTTTTAATGAAACAAGCAAGTGAAAAACTACATAGTAAAGAAGTGGTTCCTTATATTACAAATTACACATGTAAATCACAGACAGACAGACACGCACTTTCACATCTATTTAATGAGGCAATCTAGCGAAAAACCACATAGAAAAGAAGTAGTTCCTTAAATAACAACTTTCAATATATATATGAGCCAGTTCGTTTTGGTAACAATGCGTTCCAACAATGGTTTTTACACCATATTGCTTAGCAATAAAAGGCTATGTGCTGAAAGTATAAAATGAAATGCATAAACTTCAAAATTTAAAAAAATATATTTGTTGTTTTCTAATTTAGAGGCTCCGTTAATTAAAGAGGTTTGTTTTTAAATATTTATTTTTTATTATTTCAGTTTAAAATCGGAGGACAAATCAGAGGGAAGGTTACTATTATATACCGGCCAAATCCCGTAAAGGAGCAACAAAGGTATATATATATATATATATGTACTTTTACGTTAAAATGGGTTCATAATACACACACTGACATAGTCATCTGGAATAAAGCAACTTAATAACCCGAGCGAAGCCAGGTACATTCGCTAGTATCAGATAAACAAACCCCTTAATAACAGCAGATTCGCTTAGAAACAAAAGGAGACTAATTCTGAATCTGATAACTTAACTGAGTTTTCTTAGTGTTCGTGTTTGAAATAAAGGGTCTGGACAGTGTTAGTAGGAAAGAAAACAATCTTTATTATTCAACAAACAATAAGAAAATGCAGTATACCTGTACACACAAAAAGACAGTTGCTTCTTCTAGAGCTCATTTAGTTCCACAGCTTTCTTTCTCTCGATATCGACCTCCATTGAACTAAACACGATTCTTTATTCGACGATCTCCTAATAGATCTGGATAAAAAAAAAAACAAAAAAAACGCGCCTGCATTCAACAGGTGAGCTTAGTTTCCTTGTTCAATCGACTGCAAAACTTGTGACTTTTGTTCTCTCACAGATTGGTTGGCTGTTATGTTCGTACAACGTTCACTTGGCCAACAAGGAATATTATAGTGCTAATTCTCTCAACTCAGTTGCTATATGTTATTGCAATATCTTTTCGGGTAGAGTAGACATTATCTACTATAGACAACAAAGAAACAAAATATCTAGAATAAGGCAATCTTAACAACTTTCCAGACCGCGTTTTATACTAAAACAGTATGCAAACTAAATAAACGAAAAATTATAAACATATTGTTACGTCTCCGTTTTTTTTTTTTAATTGATTTTCCGTAACTTCGTACCGACGAAACTTAAGCGGCACAAGCCTTTACTTAATA